GCGACAAACCACAAACGAAAGAAGACGAAAGAATCAAATAAAAAACACGAACACTATTACCAAAAACCTACTTTGAGGTAATGGAGGTTATCCAATTCACATCAACGGAGGAAAGAGGAATTGACAACGCAAACGAGAAAAACAAAACAATTCAGACAATAAGAGAAGCCTTGGAGGAAGGAAAAAAAGAGATGAAATGAATTGCTCTGGGTTTATGCCGATGGAATGATGGAAATATGTGGTATGACGGAAAACAATGGATCCCGGAAGAAGAGGAGATAAGGACAAACATCATACGACAACACCACGATATCCGAATGGCAGGACACAGAGGAACGGCTAAAACCACGGAATTAATCACGAGGTCATTCTATTGGCCAGGACTGCGTGAAGATGTCAAACGATATGTCAAAAACTGCGACATATATCAAAAGACGAAAACGGCAAAACACGTACCATATGCATTACTAAAATCAAATGAAGTTCCCGAACAACCCTGGGAAACAATTACTATGGATTTCATCATAGACCTACCAGCATCAGAAAATTGAGATAGCATCCTAGTCGTGGTGGATCGTCTGACCAAAATGAGCCATTTCATTCCGGTTAGAAGGGATATCAACACGAGGGATTTTATACAAACCTTCTTCAGAGAGGTCTTCCGACTTCATGGCCTATCCAAGAATATCATCACCGATCGAGGAATACTATTCACATCGGGACTATGGAAAAAAGTAACCGGAGAAATGGGAATATAAAACAGAATGAGCACAGCGTTCCACCCACAAACGGATAGACAAACAGAACGGGTAAATGCGATACTCGAACAATATTTAAGGACTTACGTCAATTATCAACAAGATGATTGGTACAAGCTGTTATCAATGGCTGAATTCGCATACAATAATGGAAAGCAAGAAACGATCGGCACAACACCATTCTTCGCGAATTACGGACAACATCCACAAAGTCAGACCACATATTATACGCTTAATGATGTGATACCGGAGAAAATGGATATGGGAAAACTACACGAAACCTTACAATACGAGATGAGTCAAGCACAACAACTGCAAAAAGAACAATACGATAAGCACCGAAGACCGGATCCGAACATACAACCGGGAGATATGGTATGGCTAATACCATGTAATATCCATACGACACGACCATCAAAGAAATTGGACTACAAGAAAATTGGACCCTTCAAGATATTGGAAAAAGTAGGCAGCCGAGCTTATAAACTCGACCTTCCCCCCTCAATGTGAATACACAATACATTCCACATCTTACTCCTTGAATTACACAACGACAATAAGTTTCCTTCACAAACACTTATTCCTCCCCCTCTGATCGAACTTGACAGAGAACCAGAATACGAACTCGACGAAATACTCAATTCCCACTTCTTCCACGGTCACCTCCAATACCGAGCCAAGTAGACAGGATATTCTCCTGAATACGATAAAACTTGGTACTTCGCACACAACTTCGAAAACGCACAAGATGCCATCTCAACCTTCCACCAGTGATACCCAGGCAAGCCCGGCCCAGGTGACGATCACGTTCAACCAAGACAAAGGTGAGGGAAAGACTCCCGTGCCATTGCAGCAATACGAGGGCTGGGGTAATAGCCCCCGCCAAACCACACCCACCAGTCCCGAATACTCATTCATGGGGCCAACCGATGAAGAACTCAAGGAAAGGGAAAGCCAAGCACAGCATAACGCCATGTCATAGACAGTATGCTATGATGATGGTTGCCAAACACATTTTGGCGACAAAGAAGGCTCGAGATGGTTCCCGAGAGAATGTTGAAAGCGTGGCCCACGCCCAGACCACGTCCTGAAGCATTGGCAACAATGCTTCAGAAAGGGGTGTAGGATGCACAGGGCACAGAAAATATCTGCGGAATTCTACCCGCAGAAGGATGGAAGTAGAAAAGAGTTGGAAGGAGAGGACGCCAGAAAGGCATGGGCCGCGAGGATGCAGTCCAAGGAGGGAGGGGCCCAAAACTCCTCGGCAGACACGGAACCGGATGTCAGGAGTCTATAAAGGCAGATCCGGGGACTCCAAGAACAACTGGGCCAAGCTGAGGCCACAATTTCGGCAAACGACAAAACGATCGTGAAGCTTAGACAGCTGAACGACAATCAGCGGCACATGATCGAGATGGCGAATCTGACTCTGGAATCGGTAAGGGTCAGATAGAGGACGGCAGACGAAAAGTTCCACAAGCTGAGAAGGACAATGTGCTCGGCAGGACGGGAACTATTGAAACTGGGAGAAAAAGCCTAATGGGACTCAGGCTCAGGAGGAGGGGAGCTAATGTCACGAACGTGGCTTAGCGAGGAAAGGGTTTTCACGTGACGCATAGTTATGAGTTACAGGTACATTATTGTTTCACACATATGACTCATTTAGGTCATATGATTTGTTATGTGTGGGATTTGTGATGCTTTCGCACGTGGCTCAAATATGAGTCATGGGATGTATACAGGGCTAGTGTGCCTTGCGAGTATACCTTGCGAGTATGCCTTGCGGGTAAGCCTTACGTATATGATTTATGTTTCACACATATGACTCGGTCGAGTCATATGATTGGTTTATTGCGTTATGACTGGTTTATGAGTTTTTCGCACATGACCTCGCTATGAGGTCATAGGTTTTGAGCATGTGATTACTTTGGTCACATGACTAGTTTGTTATGATTTTGTTTCACACATGTGACCACTTTAGGTCACATGACTATGGGTGGAAGAACACTATATAAGGAGGCCGATACAGCCGAGGAGGATAGGTTCTTCACGCTTTGTTCTAAGTACTTTTCCTACATATTACTTTAACAATTATAAAACACCTTTACGATCTTTATCTTTACTACAAGGTTATTGTTACACCAAGGAAGGTTCTTCATGAAGACGAGTTAGAGAAAGCTTATGATAGGCGTTCCCAATAGAAGACAAAGGTCTTATACTATTTGTAATGTAGGCAGAGGCCTAGAGCTATCGTAAGACAAAGGAAGAAAGAGACAGAAACGAGAAGTATCGTTCCCCATCGCCACACAACTAACTATCTAGAGAGGGATCGTTACAGTACCCGTACCGGTTACACTGTCCTGCTTTTTCTGCTGTACCATTGCACTTGCCTCATCAACAGACATAGTTCCACTTTTTTGTTGAGACCTTCAGCTCCATTTTTTGTCATGTAGCACAAGCAAGTTCAGCAGCTTTTGTTTATGTAAGATCATCAAGTACCTGTATAGCAGTATGTGCCTGTACAAGGCTATCCTTAATGAACATTTGAAGACTCTTGCTTGTTGATGGTGAGAGTTGGCCATGGTCTGATAAAAGACCATCTGTATGTCTGTTAAGAGACTGATTAGTTTGGGAGGTTGTAGATGGGAGTTCTATATATGACGGAGGTGTAGATGGAGTTTGGATATTCTGAAATTCCTGCTCTATAAGCTTCCTAAGTATGATATCAGGATTAAAAGGAATTAATTCCGTCTTTCGGAAGGCAGAACGAATTGTCATAAGCTTGAATGTAAGAGAGTGGATAGAGTTGAGTGCAGTCAAAAATTCAATCTTGTCAAACTTGGAACACCTGTATCTTGTTGTGGAATTAACAGTCTCCAAATGGTAATGTTTATAAGACTAGAACACAACAACATCAAGCAGCTGTAATAAATGAGTACAATGAGGTGGAAAACAAAAGAGTAAAATCTTATGATCATCATAAAACTGTATAAACTCTCTTATAGAGTGTGAATCATGTCTATCGAGGAGAAGCAATCTCTAAGCTCCAACTTGTCAGCAACTAGAGCACTTTTTGAAATGGTGAAGCCAGTCCATGGTATACATATATTTCAAATATCCGGTTTCTGAAACTCCGACCAAGATATCACCAGGCAGATCTGTCTGTAAATACCAATCTTTCATGTGAAGTATACTAGGAACAATAACCATGGGGGAAAGTATCCCGCCATCACTGCTGATGCTTTCGATTACTGTTACTAACTCGTGATGACTTGAACTAGCTATATATATTGGACATGTTGGCTCCCGAGTCACTACCCACTGGTCCTTCCCAATCCTGATCCTAAATCCTGTTTTGTCGATGTTATAGGAATCAACATCCAAAATCCCCTTCTCATCTATTGCTTTCTTATACTGAAGAAACCAATCATGGAAATCATCACTATGATGTGCCCTTTTGTGATCTACGTCAAGAGATTTCTGTTTTTGGATCTTGTATTCAGGATGTTGGGAGAGGAACCGGCGAGTTTACTTCTCACTCACACTTAGTGGTGTAATTGTGGGATCTGAATATGAGCGAAGGAGGATTGAGTTTGCATATTTGCTAATGAGATGATAGCATGGTGGAATTCCTATCTCATCTGGTTGATTTAGATACTGACATAAGCCCATCTCTTGGGCTTCACTTAGTTTCCTATTTGGTGAAACTCACTCTTGACGAGATTGCCAACCATTCCACTGTGTGCACAGGCGCTCTTTAGGGACATCAAACTTCTGCGTAACAGCAGACACATTCAGATTTCCTTCTCCGTTGAGTACCTCAATTGCTTCTTGGATTCGGGCTTCGATTGTGGAGTAAGCTTCAGTGGACATAATGAGGTTTGGTGGAACAGGGTTGTGAGGGATGAATGGTGATGGACTTAGTATAGTTCTGTTGAGCTGTCCATCTCTTTGAACTGTCCGGCACTCTGTAGGAGTGCCGTCAATCTTCGAAGGTCGCCTAGCGTCTTTCGAAGTGGCGGGAACCTTGGCACGGTTACTATGTATGCCGTGTAATAATAACTCATGCTCCACAGCACAACACAACCCCTTTGCGGCTGCTAAGCAGCAACTTGTCCATCACGTCAACCCCACCAACCCACCTACTCAGGGTCACCCCCAGAAAAAGTCAAAACAACAATCACAAAGTCTCCAAAACCTTCAAAAACCTTTCCTTTACCCCTCCCTCCACCGACAGCTTCAATGTCTTCCAAATACGCCGCTCTTCCAGATTTAGTATGCTTTCAAATCCTATAAGTGGGGAGGACACAATCAAGCTCACGATCCTTTTCTCGCCTAGGACATTTCACAAGATGTATATGAGACCCCGGACCTCGCGGAGGATATATCCACCTTCCAGACATCGACTAGCGCAGCCCATTCCGCCTCCGGTTCTGAAGTCGGTGAAGACGCGAACGGTTGTGGAACCATCAGCTATGACCATTTAAGACTTGCAGCTGCGAGGGGATCCTTCAAACATACCGAGATCGATGCAACAGGTGTTGACTTCTCAGATCGTATCAGTGGAAAGCGAAGAAGTTATAGAGCTAGTTCTAGGAGGCGGAGGAGGAGGGCTGGAGCGTACGACGAGGAGTACGATGATGACGATGATGATGATGGGCTTGGTGAGGAGACGTTGGAGAAACGAGTGGCTAGGCTGAAGAAGGAGGTTGAGGAGGTTAGGGGTGAGATTGAGGCTAGGGAGCAAGAACTTGGAGATGGGATGGAGGAGGATGGAACGGTCCAGGGGGGGGCGAGAAAAGGGGAGGAGGGGGTGTGTGTGGATGACGAGGATGAGGATATTCTGGATGTGGTGGAGTTCAAGTCGAGCATCGATGAATTGAGTAATGTTCTTGAGGGCCTGCAGACTGTGAGTGGGGAAGAGAGGGGCGCTCAGGCTAAGCTGGCGAAGAAGTTGGCTGCTGCTATGAGTGTTACTGCGCCAAACGCTCAAGGGCAAGTTAGCGAGAAAACTGCAGTTGATGTGAGAGTATTTTTTTTCTTAATTCTATATTGAGAACCCGCTAACAACTACTCTACTAGAAGGCATCCGAGAATGCGCCTATTACAACGGATGGTTCAACGGCAACATATACAGTGACTTACGCCCCGGCCTTCAAACAATCTCACGCTCTGGCCAAGGCAGCAGACTTCGACAAGCGTCTTACCGTCCTCGAGAAGGTCCTCGGAATGAGCGCATCCGCTACCGTAAACGTTGACAAAGAACTCCCCAATTCGGCCATGATCCCTACCCTCGACGAACTCAGCCGACAAATGTCTGTCTTGACAGCTCCGTCTACAACATCCCTCGACGCAGCCAACAAACGAGTAAAACAGCTCACCCTGGAAGCAGAAAGGCTAGCAGAGGCTAGGAAAGCCGCCAAGGCCACTGCAGATGCTCGAAGGGAGGAAGCCGACCAACTCTCAGAGGGAAGTACCGCCCCACTGGCAGACATGAGCGAACGAGAAGCCAAGATAAACGCACTCTATGGTGCACTCCCCACGATCGAGAATCTCGGGCCGCTTCTGCCGGCTGTTCTCGATCGCTTACGAAGTCTCAGGACTATTCACGCTGACGCCGGAAAGGCGGTGGAAAACCTGACTAAGTTGGAGAGGAGGCAGGAGGAGATGGGCGGGGAAATTGCGCGGTGGAGGGCCGCGCTGGAAAAAGTGGAAACAGTGGTCAAGGAGAGTGAGGGGACGATACAGGGTAATATGGGCAAAGTTGAGGGGTGGGTCCAGGAATTGGAAGAGAAGGTTCGGATGGTGGAGAAGATGGTTGAAAGGTAGTCAGTCCACTTTTCGGTAAGGAGGGGATTTTGTATTACGGTTGATTATGTTACTGTAGTTGGGCGCCTTGCGTGCTGGTATCACACACACGGTACTGTGCCCATTCTACTATAGACCTTTCGCTGGCAGCGGCAGCATCAGAATTGTTGTAGTAAGCGGGCGGGATATGATATACCGATAGCGATAGCAATAATCTTAATTCGATGGATATAATAATATCGCAGCAGAGAATTGTTTTTCATTACACCCTCTTATGCATACCGGTGGGATTCAACAGAAGTTCGAGACAGATAAATCGACAGAGAGTCCAACTGGGCAATGGCATTGATAGATCTTTGGATGTATGCTCGGAGCCAGTCAAATCCAACTAAGGCCACTCTCTCTATGCGTGATGTATTGTGCGTTGACAAAATTAATCACGATTCAACAATCGGTGGCAACTCACCCCTTTTCATCACCCCACACTCTCAACAGTATCTAAAAGAATTGCTCTAAGTCAACCAAGAAGAAACCATTCTGCTCAATTCTTTTTTTCAATAAACTATGCCTCCTATTCTTCACAGTTATGCCAAAAAACTATTCCCTCCACACATCTCTCTGAGTTTACCAGGGGGAGGATTCTCGGGTTACATGAACCTCAGATGAGATATCAGCAAATTTTCCACTACCTTAATATCTCCTACACTACTGTCAGAGACATGATACTATGGTGGAGGAAGCTCTTAAAAATCGCCATACTACCTATTCTGACATTGCTGAGCAAGTTGCTTCCAATGTTTCTAGTAGGACAGTAAGGAGAACACTTGAAAAAAAGCATCTTAGAAAGTGGATGGCACAAGAGAGAGTTCATTTAGATAAGGATCTAGCTCAAGAGAGATTGGAATAGGCATTAGCTTATAGGCTTTGGATAAAGGAGATTTGGAAAAGGAAAGCAATGTGGGAGGATGAGGTAGCTGTTAAAAGAGGAGGAGAAAAGAGGAGAGAATGGTTTTTCAGATACCTATATGAGAAATGAAATAAGGATTGTGTTGAATCTAAGACTAGGAGAGGGGAGAGAGGGATTAGCCAGATGATGACTGGTTATTTTTATAGTCAAACTTATGGTCTTTTTTTGCCTATTTTTCCTGATCCTTCTTCTGCTAGAGGTGGAGTTACTGGGAAGTCAATTATTGATGTTTATGATTATTATGACGTTCTAGGGATATGGAAGAATATCAGAGAAAAGGCTGGAGAAGAAGAGGTATTTTTTATCATTGACAATACTAAGACTCACTTGCCTTTTAGGAGATGGCTCAGAGAGCAGGGAATTACACCGATGGAAATTCCTGCCTATTCACCAGATCTCAATTCAATTGAAAATATTTAGCCTCTGGTGAAAGGTAAGCTTCACAAGTACTACCCTGAGCTATATCTTATAAAGGATGATGTCAATGTGGTCAAGAAGGCAATAGTAGAGGCCATCACTCATTATTGGAAACTTCTTGACCTAAAGGTTTTTGATACTTTAGCTGTATCAATGGTAAATAGAATAGAGGCAATTATTAAGGCTGATGGATGGTAGACTAAATATTAATTTCTACTATGTATTTACATCTTTTAAGTTTTTTTTGGGTTTTCATGATAGTGAATTGGTGGGTGAGTGTAACAATCCCTCCTTGGATTGTTAGTTCTTGGCGACAGGGAACGATACTTCTCTCCTTCTTCTGTTTCTTTCCTTAGTTATACGATAGCAATAGGCCTCTACCTATGTTACCGATAGTACAAGATTTTTATCTTCTATTGGGAACGCCTATCATAAGTTTTCTCTAACACTTCTTTCATGAAGAGCTTTCCTCGGTTTAACAATAACAGTTGCAATAATGATAAAGCTCGTATAGGTGTTTGATATTTGTTAAAGTAATAAGTAGGAAAAGTACTAAGAATTCAATCTAATTTTATTTAAACTCGTACCGCCAATACTGGCATATGACGAGCTCCAGGGCCAGACTCCCAGATTGTGGCATCTTGGATACCACTAACTATGGACTAACTAAACCGCCAACCCCGTATGTAACGATCCCTCTCTGGATAATTAATGCTTGGCGATGGGGAACGATACTTCTCTTCCTGTCTTCTTCTTCCTTTGTCTTACGATAGCTCTAGGCCTCTGACTACGTTACCGATAGTACAAGACCCTTGTCTTCTACCGGGAATACCTATTGTAAGCTTTCTCTAACTCTTCTCCGTAAAGCGCCTTCCTTGGCGTAACAATAACGTTGCAATAAGGATAAAGATCGTAAAGGTGTTTTATATTCGTTAAAGTAATAAATAGGAAAAGTACTTAGAACAAAGCGTGAAGAACCTATCTTCCTTGGCCGCATCGGCCTCCTTATATAGTGTTCTTCCCGCCTTTAGTCATGTGACCTAAAGTGGTCACATGTGCGAAACCAAATCATAACAAACTAATCATATGACCAAAGTGATCACATGCTCAAAACCCATGACCTCATAGTGAGGTCATGTGCAAAACTCATAAACCAATAGTAATGCAATAAACAAGTCATATGACTCGACTGAGTCATATGCACGAAACCCATGACCTCATAATGAGGTCATGTGTGAAACATAAATCATATGCGCAAGGCTTACCCGTAAGGCACACTCGCAAGGCATACTCGTCAGGCGTATGTCCCATGACTCATACATGAGCCATGTGCGAAAGCATCACAAATCCCATACATAACAAATCATATAACCCGAATAGGTCATATGCGCGAAACAATAACATACCTGTGACTCATAACTATGCATCACGTGAAAACCCTTTCCTCATTAAGCCATGTTCGTGACACCGTACCTCCAACATGCCTGCACCATGCCCCAACACAAACACTAAATACAAAGCCATCAACGATAAAGAAAAATCCTCCTGAGCCCAGCCTACCCGCCAGCCAAGTTACCTATACAAAATACAAAAATCTACTACTGCCACCTGAATATGACCCCACGATAACCTCCTCCACAGTAGAAACCCGCCTGAGTGCCCCCACTCAATGATCCTGAGACACCCCACCGACCGCCCCTGCACCCATCCCTATTCCCAAACAAAATGAAACACCTAATACCCAAGCGCGTAGACCCAAGGGAAAGCTGACTTACAGGGTGAGGGCTCCCTAGCCAAGGGGGTACGAACTATCATAGAGAATCAGGGAGGCACCACACCGGCAGCGCAGCTCAAAAACTTCAATAGAAGCAGCGAGAACGAGATAGTCCCCAAGTTGCTGGCACTTGACCAAACATGCCCCTGTATTCAGCTCTCCTCTAACTCCTCAGCTCGCTCTGCAGGCAGCGAGCCCACTGTGGACTTTGTAGTAGCCAGTTTGCGGTAGCACACCGGCGAAGACGATGACCCTTCCGAGTCGGGGACAAGTGGCATGGGTGAGGTCTGGTCTTGTTTGACCCGGCACTTCTTGTTTCTCTTACTCTTCTCACCTCTAGGTGCAGGTCTAGCAACAGGAGGAAATGAGCCACCCTCATTACCACCCACCGCCACAGGGAGGACGCCACCAGAGGCGTTACCCTGATCAGCCACGGGCTCAGCTACAGAGGACTCAGGCACTTTCCCCCCCGAAGGACATGATACCACCGCAGCTGGTACCACCACACCAAGATCCACCCCACCCACCCTAGGAGCCAGCACCTCAAACGGACCTGACGAATCAGGAACCAGTCCATCCACACTACTATCCACAACCGAAGTTGCAAGAGGGGTCGGGATAACCGGCAGTGCAATATTCCCCCAAGGGAGCAACTCTGCTAAGACCTGTGAATCCTGAGAGTCTAGCCCAGCTCCCTCAACGGAGACCACCTTAGTAACTGAAGCGATCGAGGAGACAGGAGAAGAGGGAATAATCGTAGGAGCTTCAGCCACCAGAATTGCAACCAAACTGCAAACTGTATCACGTTCGGAGGGCAGGGCAGTCAACAAGGTAGATATCTCTTTCTCAGTACGATGAAATTGCCGAGAAAGAAAGGAGATGTGATGCCAAAGGCAAGAGACTTCGGCCACTAAGACGAAGGTCTTCTCGACAGTACGAGACAAAACCACCGACGAATGTAGAGCGGACATAGTGGAGGTGGCGGAGGCTCACTTAGCCATTGCGACCGTGAGGAGGCGACCATTGTCAACAACTGAAAGGATAAGTAGAAGGAAGCAAGAACTTCCAGCAAACATAGGAGGAGGTATAATAACGAAGCTCCCAAAAGGTGTTCGAAGTTAAAGAATTGAAGCCTATCGTGAGATAGAAATCAAGGGCTCTGATTGGACTGACACTAAACCTTCACATCTGACACAGGGTGAAAGAAAAAGGAAAAGTACTTAGAACAAAGCCTAAAGAACCTATCCTCCTTGACCGCCTCAGCCTCCTTATATAGTGTTCTTCCCGCCCTAAGTTATGTGACCCAAAGTGGTCACATGTGCGAAACCAAATCATAACAAACTAGTCATGTGACCAAAGTGGTCACATGCTCAAAATCCATGACCTCATAGTGAGGTCATGTGTGAAAACTTATAAAGCAATCATAACACAATAAACAAGTCATATAACTCGACTGAGTCATATGTGTAAAACCCATAACCTCATAATGAGGTCATGTGTGAAACATAAATCATATGCGTAAGGCTTACCTGCAAGGCACACTCGTAAGGCATACTCGCCAGGCACACATCTCAAGACTCATATTTGAGCCATGTACGAAAGCATCACAAATCCCACACATACCAAATCATAAGACTCGAATGAGTCATATGTGTGAAACAATAACATATCTGTGACTCACAACAATGTGTCACGTGAAAACCTTTTTCATGCCAAGCCACGTTCGTGACACAACTCTTGACATATCTTTTGACATCTTCGCGCAGTCCTGGCCTATAGAATAACCTCTTGATGAATTCTGTAGTTTTCACCATTCCTCTGTGTCCTGCAGTTCAGATATCGTGGTGTTGTTGTATGATGTCT